ATTCTGTAATTTACCATGATGTTTGATTCTTGTTATCATTTTCTATAATTACTACTTGTTCTGGTTTAACATTTGAATAAAACATTACTCTTTCTTGTAATATTAACAACAACAATAACTTAGTGACCAAGTATCAGGGTTATAGGAATCAATTTCTTCGTGGGGGGAGGGGGGTTGATTCACGATGTCAATCGTTCACAGCTCGGCAAGGCCCAGTGGTGCATTTTTGAAATGTCGCGCGCTGTGCGCCTGAATATCAAAACAGTGAAACATTCAGTAGTGTTGCAACCATGCCTGTAAAAGTTTAAAGTTCAAACTTTATGACTTACCCTATAATACTTACCCCCTCCCGTCGGCCAGCGAGGGGTTTTGAAAGTTCGGACACACCCGAACAAGTGAAGGGGTGGTCTGAAAATCTGCGATTTTGGCGGACGTCCTAAGTAGATGGCCTCCAACAAATTTCAGTTCACCGAATTGTACTAATATTGAGGAAATTAGCGAAGTTTTATTGTTAATAAAATTGATTTGAAACAACAAAAAATTCCAAAATTTACGTTACATTTCTGCTGACGTCAGGAAGGCTCAGACTCTCCTCCCCCCATTCAGCATTTCCATTTCCAAACCGGCCGCTCTTTCCCCTTGGCTGCTGACGTCATAACATGTTAACGCTCCCATACCCACAACTTGATTGTTCAATACTCCAGCTCAAACTTTTGAAGGTATCGGTATTTATAATAAGTGTAGACTGTCCCTCATCACGTCGAGACATGAAACATTGAAACATTTGCACTGCCACACTTGAAATTTGTATCTTATGAGGTCGGTAGTAAACTGACCACAGCTATATTTAATAAACGATATTATTTCCATTTTATTACTAAACTTTGAACTCATTTTCGATTTTTCACGTTTTGAGTACGCCTTGACTTTGAAAGTTGATCAGTACGATTAGTAAGTTTTTCGCCCCCCCCCCCCCCCCCCGTCAGCAACTGACAGTATTTCCAAACCCTCTACCCCCTCGGCTGCTGTAGTCATATGTGAACGCTCCAATATTGTATTCTTTGGAAGAATTTCAGAAAGTTTGGTTTCAGGATTGAACTATAGCAATGTGAAATCATAAGGTGAAATGCTGTGCCAAGTTTATATGGGTCAAAGGATAAATTCCTTTAAATTTTGAATATTTACAGTAGTAGGTCTCAAAAAGGGTGCAAAGAGAAAGAATCTGGAGTTTTTTTGCTTAAAGGAAGGAATTGTAGCAAAGAGGAATGTAAATTTGAACTACACTTTGTCTTTAGCAATATGACAATTTGGATAATGCAATGGCAGATTGGCCAGGTGTGCCCCCCCCCCCCCCCACGATTCACGAATAATTCCAAGTAAACTACAGCAGCAGATTATTAATCGTATTTATTCATTTCCCCCATACTAACCACGGTTAGATCCATGGCCACCATATCAGCTATTATACTGTCTGGAACAGGTTTTAGAGTGTCCGGGACTCTGACGGAGTCCGGACCCCGTTTCAGAGAATCTTCTTTCTGTGCCACATTCTCATTGCTTCTCTTAAACTTGATACTCGGCTGTACTAAAGTTTTACGACCTATTCTAAACAAGGCCCTAAATCTTCCACTACGTTTTGGTAGAGCGCCGTTTATTTTGGACCTTTGGGAATTGTTCTCGTTTTTAATATTTGAATTCGGAGTATGACTAATCAACCGCAAGTCTTTATCAGCATTATTTGAATGTTCCTCGGGTTGTTTCACAGCAACGTCTTCTGATGCGATGGTGTGTGATGTCACAGCACGTGGTGTGACGTCATAACACGTGGTGTGTGAGGGAACCTCGTGTTTCTCGTTACTCTGACCATTGTAACTGTGAATTGTGTGTAGAGATGAACTCTTTTGAAGCAGGATAGCATCTTCTTCTGTTATCTTGCTATTGTCACATGTTTCTCTGTAAAAGGTATTGTCGGGCTCCTTCACAAATAACTCCATGACTCTCCTTCTGGGGAGGGAGAAACTGGAGCTTGTAAAGTCTTCCCTTCTAGACAAACTCTTTTTGCTGGACAAAGTGTCAAAATCAATACAAGATCTATTCGAGGCTAAAGATTCTCTTTTCCATTTGGCTCCTCTCACAGAAGTGTATACACTTCTAACAATGCTTTGTTTTCTTCTTTCACGATATTCCGGTAGATTAACTGAAGAAATACTCCTTCCTAAACCATGTTTATTATCATAAACTCTTGAGGTGAGCCTAGAACTACTTGTGGCTGTTGGAAGAACCAGTGGTTGATTCCAATTTGAGGTGCGATCAAGAGATCTCTTTCTCAAAGACTCAAAAGAAGGAGGCTCGCTAAACTCATGTGACAAGTCAGTGTTTTCTTCTGCTGAAGAGGGGCCGGGAACTGTTTCTGATACAGTAGTGTCCGAGGGAACGAGTAAAGCCAGTGTTTCCATATTTTCATACTCATTTTCGCTCTGAAATTCATCAGCAAGTGATTCCAGTTCCGATTCCAGTTGCTCAGATTGTAGCTCCTCAGATTGTAGCTCCTCTGGTTGCAAGTCACCAGATTCCCCCATCTCTCTCATGACTCCCTTAACACCAGGAGGTAGACTACTGTGTTTAACTTCCATCTCTACAGAGGACTTCCTCCGCTTGAAGAAGCTCTGGAGAAGAGAGGAATGTCGGGCTGGTTTCTCCCTTTTCCTGGTCGGGGGAGGAGTGTACTCCTTCTCCTGCACGAGAGAGGTCTCCGAGCATACTTCCCCAAAAGAGTGAGACAGTTCTGTACTGTTCTCCATATCCTGGTCAATTGCAAAGGTCGATGTTTCGTCTATGGAGATTGATAAGTCGTTCTTTTGCTTTTTATCTTGCTTCAGCTTGCGAAAGTAATCAATCTTTGGAGATGGCTGGACATTTATTGGATCAGTCAAATTATCAGCGTACAGTCTGTGTGTGTCTTGATCGTCCTTGTCAATTGCACCACTTGATAAATATTGTTCTTCAAGGAGTATTCCATCCTCCAGACAATGATCGAGATTCTCATAAAGCGGAGGCACATTCTCATACACTGTGCCGGATGAGAGACCTGATCCCGGTCTAGAGTTTTCAGAGTCCCGGGTGTATCTACGCATACACAATGTCTCTATATCGTCATAACTGTGCGCACTTGAGAGATTTCCATACATCAGATCGGGTGTGTCGGTGTTAATGAGGTCAGGTGAAGAGTTCTCAACTATACTCTTGACTAATTCTCCTTCTTCTTCTTCTCCCTGCTGGGTATCTTCTCCATTCAACAAAGTTATCTCTATCGAAGAAACTTTTCCTAAAGTAGAGACTGATTCGCTATTACTTAAACAATCCTGTCTCAATGCCATATCTGTTCTAGTTTCATTTGAAGGGTCTTCTTCTTTTGATCCAATATCACTCTCAAAATCTGTGCTGGTAGTTTTTAGTTCACAGCTACTTAAGAGATCTCCTTCAAGAGACATGCTTGATTCTCTATCGACATTATCTATGAAGAATCTTCCTGAGACTTCAGAGTTTACATATATATTGTCATTTTTAGAACCTGAACCCTCTCTATCTCCAGAATTGGAACTGTTGTCGCCTAAACCCTCTCTGCCTCCAGAATTGGAACTGTTGTCGCCTAAAAGATTGGTGTATGTTCCCTGAGCTTGTGTTTCTAATAGCTCTACTGATGGAGAGGACTGGAACTCTTCACTAGACTCCGAAGAGGAGGATGAAACTGAGTGAAAGGAATCTGAGGAGTCTTCTGAGGAGTGTGACATTAAGAGTAGGTTTATAACCTAGGTTTATAACCTACCAATGTTACTTAATGTTAACATCAAGAGCAGACAACTGATTCACTGCAGTAAGTCGTAATCATGGTCATCATCTGAAGGTTTGTGGTTTAGTTTCAGTTGTCATAAGACATTACAGAGCGTGGCAATAACAAGGGCATAAACTGTTTGAGATCAAGTGAAAATCAAAATAAGTTGTATGAAAACTATAAAACAGTTTAGGAAATCAAGCGAGCCAACAAGTGACACAAGCTCATCCCTCTATAATGTAGTCCACGTAACGTTGTTATAGTAATAAGATAATAACATGACCTAGTAGTGTGAGCTAACTATGAACAATATATAAAGTAAACAATACTGATATAATGGGACTCTTGTTTATCACATGTCGTTATTTTGACGATCCCTTGGTGCTGACTGCTGGGTGCATGTTTTCTAGACCCAGCAGAAAGTTGGAGCAACTTTACAGTTCACATAGTAGTAGGTAGAGTTGTAGGTACTAGGTAGAGTAGGTAGATAGAGGAGTTATGGTAGATGACGTAGAAGAGCAGCAGGTACATACAGAACATACTATTAGTCTGACGTATAGTTCCTGTATCCTATACTAATATACAATGTAAAGCTTATTATAAGTTTACTGTCTGCAGTGAGCAGGTAGTAATGATGTGTTGTATTGAACTGCAAGGTCTAAACTGTAGACTCTACAGTATCAGTACAATAGGATATGTGTATTTAACGTTCATGTGCTCACTACGTCTTATTACTTTATTACTTATTGTTCGTGTTTATTTTTGTGTCTTGCTTGCTAGTTGTTTTGTTTTTGTACGTGCAAAAACGGTTAGTTTTTCCTTTCGCATACTTGACTAATGTCCTGTTTTTATTGATGTACTTGTTTGATGCTTCTCCGAGCTCGCAAGGGTAATCGGTTTAGTAATAGTATCGGGAAAGTTAACAGTTCGTTCCTTATTTTGCACTAAGAGGTATAGGTATTATAGGTATAGGTATAGTAAAACATTCCTTTTGGCTGTGTGATGTGAACAACGAGCGACCATTTCAAAACGGCTCCTCTTGTTTCAATTTAGTACTTACTCTACTTAGTAGTTAGTATAGTAGTAATAGTCTACGTAACAGTAACACTTAGTACGGGCCACTGAGTTTGAACTAACCTTAACATTAAACCTCCAGTTTATAGAATAAAGTGAATGAAGCTGTTGCTATGGCGCGTTGTCATGGTGACGTTGGTTTTGTCACGTGTCAGTTCAGTAACACGTGGTGAGGGGTATTGTGTGACGTATAGTGACTGCGGAGGTGTGCCTTGTGTTAACAACACTCCAGCTAAACCCATCTCCAGTTATCAGACACTCTCCTCTCTCAGGGAGTTCTGTCCTCATCTCAAGGTATTTAGTTGGGAACTTATCAGGGTCATGCTTTGTTGAGCGATATCAGAGATCCTGTTAGGATAGTGAGCATCCTGCTAGCTGAGTTTACAAATACACTAGCTGAGTTTAATATAATTATTATAATTTAGTTTATTGTTATTATTTAAGGCACACTTTGTTTTTAAGAGGATAATTATAGGCTAACTATATTCTGAAAATATGTGAAGGACGCGGCGTAACCATGATCCGGCGTAACCATGGCTACCACGTTGCTGAGTTAAAGTAGCTAAACTACATCTCCTTCTCAAGTAATATTTCCTGTTCTGATAATTCATTTCAAAGGAGACTAGAAAAGCCTGGAATGAATTTAGTTTTAAGAAAGAATCTTAACGTAAGAAAAGTACAAATAGTTTTACTTATGATCTGTGAAATAAAACTTTGTTCAGGAGGAATCTGGGTTTTGTTGCGACGCCGAACAAGTGACTATCATGGAGAAAGCTCTTTCAAAAGCTGATAATCTGCTGAAGTAACTAAACATTGAAGTCTCTCACTTTATCATAGCAAAGATTACCATAATCAGTAAAAACTAACATCCCCCATGAATTCTTTTACTTCGATGAAAGGTAAATGTCATGACAAGAATTGCAGTTTTATTTGGCACGAATCAAGCACTCTCATTTATAGGTGCACGCCAGGGAGAGACAATTTCAGAACTCTAATTTGTGACATGGTATGTGGGCCTAACCAGGCTAACTACTTGGAGATAACAGAGAGCAAACAGTACGGAGACAGGATTCAGGCTACCCACATCAAATACTTTATCTCTACCGTAAATACTTTCACTTTCTTTTAGATACTTTCACTTGTTTACTTTCACCTTCTCTTAGATACTTTCACTTTCGTTTTCACTCAACTTCAAGTTCGCGTTCGTTGTGCTAGTCCGTTTAATTTGTATAATATAGGAATACAGTGACGCAGTATGGAGAAGTACTAGAAAACAAAGCAAATTACTTTGCGGGAAAATATTCAGTGAATGCTCTAAACAAGACCTCTTCAAATTCATAGGTATTATTTTATTTGTTATAGGTATTACTATTATTATTATTGATAAGTAGATTGCATTCTGTTTATATCAATCATTAGCAAAGTGTTTTTGTTAACGAACTACTGTAAGTTTTGTTTTTGGTGCCAATTTTAGACGAACAATTTATTTATTTAATTATGTTAGAACGTTAAATTGGTAATGTTTGTTTCTATTTGTTCCATTGTTCAGGAGATAACAGATGGACTAAGTTGAAGACAGATTACGTTATAGAGAACACACCGTCTCGTCCGGGGATCAAACATTCCTCTCCCTCCCAGTTAGCATGCCCTTCCTCCTCCTCCTGTCAGTGCTAATAACGTATTGAGAAAACTGTTCTGTTATAGGTATTATTGGAGGACTTCGCCGCTTCGACGCGCCGCGCAAACTAGCATTCTTGCTTCGCATCATCGATGGGTTGACACCGTCAATCAATAGGTATTATTAAACTTACAGCTTAGTTAACTTATTGAGTTTTCATCTTAGTTCCAGTCTTTCAAAGAACGTGTGTTAGGGAGAATTTCCAGAAATCATAATATCGATGGCATTTAGTTAATAATTTTGACAGAAACTTTTGTTTAGTTTAATTTTTCTTGGTCTCATTCTCATTATAATAGTCATTATTTATACATTATAGTTTTCTTTGTAAAAACGAAGTTGCGTGAATATTTTGTTGCTTTTAACAAAATATATAGAAATTAAAAGAGTCCTGTACAACGTTACTATTCAGAAATTGAAACCCATTACCCAGCAAGCATTAACATTTAACAAATATTACATTATTTATTATTATTTACTACTCAAGCAAATAAAAATCAAACCAATCATAACCATTACTGAAGAAATAAAATATTAACTTAAGTTAAAGTCTGATAAACTTGCAAAGAAATTCGTAGATCTAATTACAAAGTCATACTGATAAATAAACTTTCATAACTCTGAACAAAAAAGGTTTTAAAACACACTGATAACTGAGATTATCAGAGTGTCACGTGTGATCCTCGTGTATCTCGGGAGTGTACGTGAGAAGTGGTCACGTGTGATTCTCGTGTATCTCGGGAGTGTAGGTGAGAAGTACCACCATAACCCAGCTGTGTAGCAGTAACATGTAGCCTAGTACCATTAGCCTGGCTTGTGGGTACCTCCTAAGAAACACACCTAATCTCACACTAAACTTATCTATAGAGTTCAGAGCGTCTCTCAGTCTCTCATTCTTGTAACTAGGTCTAGAAGTTTCCACAAACCCCTCCCTCTCGACTGGCACTGAAACAGAGTTATTTCTCCTCTCAACTTGCTGTAACACTCCCTCTAATCCCTCCAGACGCAACACTAGACTACTCCTCTCACTGTTCAACCTCTCTACTTCACCCTGCTTGTTTAGCAACACCTGAACATATTGTCATAGTTACCAATATCATCATATTTCTATAGCAACCAGTATTACGGATGATACTGAAAGCTAGATTACCGAAATTTTTGTTGATAAACAGAAAATCATTAGAATAGAAGGAGACATTTAATAAGTTTAATGCTATAAACGGTAAGATTTAACTACTGTCATTTCTAGTACCTCAGTGAGTGAGTTTATCTTGACCTCCAATTCCGAGTCACTGCCAGCTCCATTGACGACAAACCGCGCGTTACGTACAGTCTCCAGCTCAGTGCGCAGCGCGCGCACTTCCGCCGCAGAGGTAGAACGCAAAACAGTCATGTCTCTCTGACAAATTACCATCTCCTGAGAGTGTTTTCAGGGTAACAAAGTGTTGAGATCATTGCAGATCAGACAAGATATAAGACGGTTGTTCTGGTTACCTCTTTCAGTCGCGACACTATGTCTTGGTACTCAGTTAACTCGTTTTCTCTGTCTTTTGTTGCACTTTCTGCCGTTGAGCACTGCTCTAATGCTTGTTGCAGCTCCTACAATGGTATGGGATTCACAACCAACAGAAACAATATAGTGACAAGATCTGGGTAACTAGGCGGTAACTAGGTGGTAACTAGGTGGTAACTAGGTGGTAACTAGGTGGTAACTAATGGTAACTAATGGTAACTATTGGTAACTAGGTGGTAACTAGGTGGTAACTAATGGTAACTAATGGTAACTATTGGTAACTAGGTGGTAACTAGGTGGTAACTAGGTGTTAACTAGGTGGTAACTAATGGTAACTAATGGTAACTATTGGTAACTAGGTGGTAACTAGGTGTTAACTAGGTGGTAACTAGGTGGTAACTAGGTGGTAACTAATGGTAACTAATGGTAACTATTGGTAACTAGGTGGTAACTAGGTGGTAACTAGGTGTTAACTAGGTGGTAACTAGGTGGTAACTAGGTGGTAACTAGGTGGTAACTAGGTGGTAACTAGGTGGTAACTAGTGGTAACGTGTTTGCAAGATCTGGGTAACGTGTTTGCTTCCCGAGCCCCCTCGAGTACAGTGTACGAATAACCACCCGGTTTTCCCTTAATATATAAGTAAGTAAGTACAGTTACAGTAAATAATGAGAGCTGAGTGTTTGTTATAGTTACCTCGCTGTGAGTTTGCTCTACACTGGTCAAATGCTCCTTCGTAATCACCAACTCGCACTTAGTCGACCTATAATAATAACACTGTTATTATAGTTCCATCAAATTTAAATAAGAAATTTGCAGAATATCATTTTGTGTTGATGTGAGAATTTATAAACTCTAACCTGAGCTCGGACTCTATCAAGTTGCGCTCTTGAATCATCATCTCCACTCCTTCGTCATCTAAAATTGAGGTATCTGCAGGGGATTTCTTTTCTTTTGCCTGAATTATTTGATGGTATTTATGATGAAGTATAATGAGAAAGATAATAGTATATTTGAGAAATTAAAGACCGCCCCACAAGCTCTTTATATAATTTCAGTTTAAGTTTACCCCTTACTAGCCTGTCACGTGACCAAAACAGTTTTTTGCCCATGATAACTCTCCGGGGACGCATTTTTACAATACATCATGGGGGGTGATTCGGAATTAGCGTTCAAAAATACACCGATCATGATTATTGTCATACCCTCAGGGCCTTTTCACAAGAATTTTCTTTTAATTTGGGCGAGCGATTTAGTGGGAGCGGTTACAGTTAAATTACATTTTTTTCCCTTAATATGTACAGGGTGGGCCAAAAGTCAGTACCCATACGTTGACCTTTATAGCTCAGTCACTGAGTGCCCAATTGAAATAATTCTTTCTGGTATGACTTAGTACCACCACTGATTCGAGGAATTTGTCAACTCGAAAAATGTTCGTGTTCATTTTTTTCAAATGAAGGTTCATTTTTGCATTTATTTGATAGTTTGGATAGTCGGATTGAGCTTAATTTTATTTAATTGTGTTTGGCCATTCGAATTACGTTTAAGTCCTGAAAAAATTAGAACTGTAGATTCTCAGATGACCGAGATATGAAGCATAACGAGTTGATTCATTACGTGTGATCAGGTGATTGGTTTACCTAATCACGTGATTAGGTGACCCCGTTAACCACCCCGTTAAACATTATGGGAATTGTTAAGGCTAGCAAATCAAGGTGTCGTGTCACGGTGTCACATAATAACCCAATCAATTTTGTTAACGAGATACAGAAAATACTTGATAACTTCGTCATTTCTAATCAGTTTTGCCTCATTTTTTTTAGATCATATGCAACATTTAATAATCTACCGTCTCTAAAAAAATTAGGCATTCAGTATGTTCATAGAAAACAATATAAGTGTTTTAATATTGAATGGGCGTGGTCTAAAATATTCGAATTTTCAAATTTTGACGACGGAATCCTCGAACAAGTAGTAGGTATACAGTATGCCATCTGCAAAGCAACAACTCTCAAATATAAAACACAGCGGAGGTATAAGACCCAACGTATGGGTACTGACTTTTGGCCCAACGGCCACCCTGTAGATGTAATGATCCAAGCCTCATCTACATTAATTATAACGCTGGCTTTATTGAAACCTCTTCATATCTTGGATCTGTGTAATAAAAACGTGGGCGCGCGGCGCAGTGACATGACATGGTGAACATAGCAAATGAAAATTCTTGATACGTAAAGAAACATGCGCGTTCCAATTTCAGTACAATTTTAGTGATTTGCCAGTGACACACAAATGCTAAAATTTCGATTATACTCCGAAATCCTTTTTTATTCTGCTAAATACATTATAAACCGGCCAAAATCCTTTTAATTTACAAAATTTCCAATAGCAGATTATTTCAGAAGCTCAAAGCATGCAGAAAACAACAAACAGAACAAGAAGTGATGAAGAGAATGTTGATCTAAATGACAACAAATTTACCTGAAGTACACGTGTAGCTCTCTCTTTGTAATCTGACAGATCTTTTCTTGAAAATTCCAATTCGTTTTGAGAAAGCTTCAGTTCGGACAATGTGCTGAAATGTGAAATGTAAGGTGGCAACTTTAGATATAAGATGATAAGTAAAAATGCTCTCATTAAATGATGTCGCCCTAATTATTATATAGCACAAATGCGTTATGTATATAAATAGTATACAGTATACAATACATAGGACTGAACGTCTTCTAGAACTTTGATTTAATTTTGCTTATAAAAGTTGAAACGTTTGGTCTTAGTTTCACATCCAGGAATTTGTGTAGTACTAATATATATAAAAAAATAATAATAGTATTATCTTATAGTTATTTTGGTCTAATGATTTATGATCATAATATTGTGAAGTTATACATTGTATGTATATAAGTTATACATTGTATGTATATAAGTTATACATTGTATGGATATAAGTTATACATTGTATGTATATAATGTATACATTGTATGTATAAGTTATACATTGTATGTATATAAGTTATACATTGTATGTATATAAGTTATACATTGTATGTATATAAGTTATACATTGTATGTATAAGTTATACATTGTATGTATAAAGTGTATTGTACCCGGTATATCTGCGCTTCTCCTCTCTGAGTAATTGCTGTGTGTTGTGTAGTGTGTTAGTTACTTTTACTATTTGACACTGTAACTCTTCTTCTCGCTCCCTACTTTCACCCTGCAATAGTATAGTGCAGTGTAGTAACGAAGGACCCCGCTGACCCCGCAGTGTGGGGGGGGGGGGTTGGGCAGGGGGGAATCTTAGGGGGGGGGGCGCAAAATCGTCGTTTGAATGTGGGACAATTTTTAAAAACTTAACTGAGGTACTAGCAAAACTGCACGTTTTGCTCTAGAAACACACTTTCTTAAAGATTTTACCGGCATACCCTCTAAAATCACCTAATTTGTTCAATTTTATGGAGGGGCGCCAAAAGGGAAGGGGGCGCCAACAGGAGGGCGCATTTTCGGCGGGGGGGGGGGGGGGGGGGGTGCCAACAGGCAACGTTTCGCCACTGGTATAGTGTATAGTTACTGTTACATTAGAACCACAATACGTGTATATAAGGCCCCTAATGCAAGGCCCCTAATGTAAGGCCCCTAATGTAAGTCCCTAATGTAAGGCCCCTAATTTAAGGCCCCTAATGTAAGGCCACTAATGTAAGGCCCCTAATTTAAGGCCCCTAATGTAAGGCCCCTAATGTAAAGCCCCTAATGTAAGGCCCCATAATGTAAAGCCCCTAATGTAAGGCCCCTAATGTAAGGCCCCTAATGTAAAGCCCCTAATGTAAGGCCCCTAATGTAAGGCCCCTAATGTAAGGCCCCTAATGTAAGGCCCCTAAGAAGTGTTTAAGATGGCAAAAATGAAAAATAACGGTTTAGAAGGCTTGAAAAAGGTCGAATTGAAGGGCAATAAAACTGTTACCTGTATTTTAGAGAGAGATTCTTTGTAATGTTCTACCAGTTCATTAGAAACCGTTACTATGGTTACTATGGTTACTATGGTAACCTGTACTTGAGAGAGATTCTTTGTAATTTTCTACAAGCTCATTAGAAACTGTTACCCTAGTTACTATGGTTACTATGGTTACTATGGTTACTATGGTTACTATGGTTACCTGTACTTTAGAGAGAGATTCTTTGTAATGTTCTACCAGTTCATTAGAAACCGTTACTATGGTTACTATGGTTACTATGGTTACTATGGTTACTATGGTTACTATAGTTACTATGGTTACCTGTACTTTAGAGAGAGATTCTTTGTAATGTTCTACCAGTTCATTAGAAACCGTTACTATGGTTACTATGGTTACTATGGTAACCTGTACTTGAGAGAGATTCTTTGTAATTTTCTACAAGCTCATTAGAAACTGTTACCCTAGTTACTATGGTTACTATGGTTACTATGGTTACTATGGTTACTATGGTTACCTGTACTTTAGAGAGAGATTCTTTGTAATGTTCTACCAGTTCATTAGAAACCGTTACTATGGTTACTATGGTTACTATGGTTACTATGGTTACTATGGTTACTATAGTTACTATGGTTACCTGTACTTTAGAGAGAGATTCTTTGTAATGTTCTACCAGTTCATTAGAAACTGTTACCTCCTCTTTCAACTGGCTCAGTTCTCCGTGACAAGAACTGGACACTCTCAACTCCTCCTCCATTCGTTTTGTATGCGCTGTAAAGATTAGTAGATAATTACCTAATTATTAATTACTTGCTATTTAATTAGTAACTAAATATTAATTACTTGCTATTTTCGTTTCAACATTTCTCATCAATTCGTCATTTGTATTTCATTTTTATGAAAAAATGAAATACAAATAGAAATGAGGGGGGGAGGGGGAGGGGGCGGGTCAATTACCGGTCTGAGCTCCGAGCTCCGAGTCAGCCTCCGCTAGCCTTACTTTGAGAACTCCTATCTGAGTATCTTTAGCCTGCAAAACATACCTTTACAATTAGTTAATAAGTTGATAAGCTAATTAATTAAGGTTTACAATTAGTTACCTAAATGGTTACTATGGTTACTATGGTTACTAAATGGTTACTATGGTTACTATGGTTACTAAATGGTTACTATGGTTACTATGGTTAATATGGTTACTATATGGTTACTAAATGGTTACTGTGGTTACTATGGTTACTATAGTTACTGTGGTTACTATGGTTACTATAGTTACTATGGTTACTGTGCATATAATGGTAACTAAATGGTTACTATGGGTACTATTGACTAACAGTGAGGGCCTCCTTTAAATCAGCCTCAGTTCCCTTTATGCTTCTTATCAAGGACAGTTGTTTTGTTATTTCTTCTTCTCTTTCTTTCAGTTTCTTCTTCTGCTTCTCCTCCAGGATCTGCTGTGACTGCAACTTATCCTGAAATATCATTCTAATAATCATTTACAAAGCTTATTAGTGAGACTGCAACTTATCCTGAAATATCATTCTAATAATCATTTACAAAGCTTATTAGTGAGACTGCAACTTATCCTGAAATATCATTCTAATAATCATTTATAAAGCTTATTAGTGAGACTGCAACTTATCCTGAAATATCATTCTAATAATCATTTACAAAGCTTATTAGTGAGACTGCAACTTATCCTGAAATATCATTCTAATAATCATTTACAAAGCTTATTAGTGAGACTGCAACTTATCCTGAAATATCATTCTAATAATCATTTACAAAGCTTATTAGTGAGACTGCAACTTATCCTGAAATATCATTCTAATAATCATTTACAAAGCTTATTAGTGAGACTGCAACTTATCCTGAAATATCATTCTAATAATCATTTACAAAGCTTATTAGTGAGACTGCAACTTATCCTGAAATATCATTCTAATAATCATTTACAAAGCTTATTAGTGAGACTGCAACTTATCCTGAAATATCATTCTAATAATCATTTACAAAGCTTATTAGTGAGACTGCAACTTATCCTGAAATATCATTCTAATAATCATTTACAAAGCTTATTAGTGAGACTGCAACTTATCCTGAAATATCATTCTAATAATCATTTACAAAGCTTATTAGTGAGACTGCAACTTATCCTGAAATATCATTCTAATAATCATTTACAAAGCTTATTAGTGAGACTGCAACTTATCCTGAAATATCATTCTAATAATCATTTACAAAGCTTATTAGTGAGACTGCAACTTATCCTGAAATATCATTCTAATAATCATTTACAAAGCTTAGTACTTACTAGTGAGTAGTGTGCCTCCTAATGTTTAATAAAATCTGTGGTTAAAAGGTCACACTAGTGCCTGTTAGTGTGAAAAATATTTACTATAATATAAGTTACATAAATTTTATGGTAGTCATGTACACATAAAAAACTTACAATGTACATCAATATAATATGATTAATTCCTAATCATTTCGTATAAATGTACAACTTTAAAGTGAGAACATACCCTGTACGAACTAATTTTAGAAGATAAGAACCCAATCTCATCAGTTAGCTGAGTAACTTCTTGTTTAATCAGTTTATTTTCCAGCTCCAGTCTGTCAAAGTACTCTCCCCTCACCGCCTCTCCTTAGATAAAACAAGCTAAACGTAGATTATAAGGTAAGGTAATTCCGCTGTTATTTAGCGGCATTATTTAAAAACACCAGTTAATTAATGCTAATAAATAATAACTAGTATATAATTAAAGTAGAGATCTGACTAACCATCCCCACTATCATCACTAAGCGACACCAGGTCCTGGGATGAAGGTACTATCTCTGGAGAGGAGTGAGATTCTTCTGAACCTGGGGTATTAAATAGTGGTAACTAGGTGGTAACTAGGTGGTAACTAGTGGTAACTAGTAGTAACTAGGTGGTAACTAGGGGTAACTAGTGATAACTAGGTGGTAACTATGGTTATTAGTGGTAACTAGTGATAGCTAGTGGTAACTAGGTGGTAACTAGGTGGTAACTAGTGGTAACTAGTGGTAACTAGGTGGTAACTAGGTGGTAACTAGTGGTAACTAGTGGTAACTAGTGGTAACTAGGTGGTAACTAGTGGTAACTAGGTGGTAACTAGTGGTAACTAGGTGGTAACTAGTGGTAACTAGGTGGTAACTAGTGGTAACTAGGTGGTAACTAGTGGTAACTAGTGGTAACTAGTGGTAACTAGTGGTAACTAGGTGGTAACTAGTGGTAACTAGGTGGTAACTAGTGGTAACTAGTGGTAACTAGGTGGTAACTAGGTGGTAACTAGGTGGTAACTAGTGGTAACTAGTGGTAACTAGGTGGTAACTAGTGGTAACTAGTAGTAACTAGTGGTAACTAGGTGGTAACTAGTGGTAACTAGTGGTAACTAGGTGGTAACTAGTGATAACTAGGTTGTAACTAGTGGTAACTAGGTGGTAACTAGTGGTAACTAGTGGTTACTAGGTGGTAACTAGGTGATAACTAGTGGTAACTAGTGGTAACTAGCAGTAACTAGTGGTAACTAGGTGGTAACTAGTGATAACTAGGTGATAACTAGTGGTAACTAGTGGTAACTAGCAGTAACTAGTGGTAACTAGTGATAACTAGGTGGTAACTAGGTGGTAACTAGGTGATTACTAGTGGTAACTAGGTGGTAACTAGGTGGTAACTAGGTGGAAACTAGGTGGCAACTAGGTGGTAACTAGGTGGAAACTAGGTGGCAACTAGGTGGTAACAAGGTGGTAACTAGTTGGTAAATAGTTGGTAACTAGTTGGTAACTAGTGGTAACTAGTGGTAACTAGTGGTAACTAGGTGGTAACTAGGTGGTAACTAGGTGGTAACTAGTTGGTAAATAGTTGGTAACTAGTTGGTAACTAGTGGTAACTAGGTGGTAACTAGGTGGTAACTAGTTGGTAAATAGTTGGTAACTAGTTGGTAACTAGTGGTAACTAGTTGGTAACTAGTTGGTAAATAGTTGGTAACTAGGTGGTAACTAGGTGGTAACTAGTTGGTAACTAGTTGGTAACTAGTGGTAACTAGTGGTAACTAGTGGTAACTAGTGGTAACTAGTGGTAACTAATGGTAACTATTTGGATTGATGGATTGAAAGCACCCATCTCTGGGGAGCAATGAGACTGAAATACTATTAGTTAAATTAATTAATTAGATTAAGTGTATGTTAGCTGATTAGATAGATATCAGAATATTTATATAATTAGATGTTAGACTAGGAAATAATAAAAAGTTGTTTAAAGTATAAAGTAAAACCAGTGAGGAAGATGTTTTGTTCTCCAGGCAGAAGAGAGTTGTTCAGACTTGAGAACACATTCTTATCTTCCTCTTCTGAAATATTTATCAATTTAAAGGAAATTAAATTAAATGCTCAATCAATACAATTGTTTAACTTGTTAGTACAGTAAAACCCCGCGGTAAAGTGGGCTGTAGTACAGTGTACTAGTATAGTTACCATGGTAACTAGGTGAATCTTCCTCTTGAAGAGATTCAGCAGTTTTTTTGTCCACCTGATCCAAAAAAGCTTCTGCTTGATTAGCGAGATCAGTCAACGACAATGTCCATGCTGACATTCCCTATACTGAATTACTTTGTTAAAATATAATATGTTATGTACTAAGATATTAAGATATTTAATAATATAACTTCTTGACAGTAATTTTGAACATATTATAAACATGTTTTGAAATAAAAACCTATATCTAGTGGTAACTGAAAACTGTTGTTGAGGATGGCGTGGTTGATAGTATTAGTGTTGGGTATGTATCTAAAATATATATTTGGTCAAAAGATACTTAAATCATGAGATTATTAGCCTTAGAGCTGAGAATTATTGATTATTACGAGAATTGTTCCTAATTAGCCTGATTGTAGTTACTTGAGAAGAAACTTTCCTTTAGGTTGGCTAATATTATAATTCCACAGCAGCTAATTAATAATTAAGCTGTGAGCTCAGTACAGAGTTGAGGGGGAGACCATTATATTGTGTGGGCGATATTTCCCCCAACAATCTTTGTGAGCTCATTACTTCACTGCAAACAAACCCCCTCACTATTTACACACCTGCACTTCTGTTCCCTATTATTGTAAACATATTGATCCTGTGTAATCCTGTGTAATCCTCTGTAATCCTGTATATTGTGAGTCATCATGTTCCTTATCGTGTGCCTCATCACAACCTACCTTATCTGGAAAACGTATCTTATAATCAATACGATGTTAAATAGAAAGAGTTTAAGTGCAATCCCACAACCGCCCATTGATAACTTCTACTTTGGACACGAGCCGTCCATTACCAAGGCCAAAGAAGAGAATAGATTCCTAGACCTGTTTGTTGAATGGGTCAACACATACGGGACAACAGTGCTGTTCTGGATCGGAGCCCGACCCTTTGTCTTTACAGCAGACCCTGAAATGCTGAAACAGTGCGCCACTGATCTCAAGTCTTTCTCAAAAGTCAACAATCTCCCCAACAGACATTTGTTCGGACAGAAGATAATAGGGACAGACAGTATTCTCAGTGGAGGGGGGCTCAAGTGGGCGGTGAAGAGAAAAGTAATGTCGCGTTTCTTTGCAAAGACCAACATGAAGGAGATGTTTGAAGCAGCAAAGCCCCACATGGAGGGACCAGAGTTGGGGAGATGGAGGGAGCAAGTTGGGAGAGGAGAAGTACTGGACCTGCATGAAGAGCTATCCATCACCTTCTCTTCTTATCTCCAGGTCCTAGGACTATCAGACTTCCTCCCAGCTAAAACCATTGCTAGAAACGTGTTCCTTCTTCTAGAGGCTATCCCCAAACAGCTCTTCCAAAGATGGTCCTATCTATTATCCTCTGACAAGACTAAAATGTTTGCTCTGATCAAGAAGATGAGAAGTGATACAAAACAGACTGTAGTGGAAAGAATAGAGGAGATGAAGAACAACCCTGACGACACAATCCCATCTCTAGACATGTTAGGACACCTGATAGAGGCTAACCAGAGTAACGATGGTCAGACTTCTAACTCCGAGGCAAAGGTAGTTGAGGGAGTGGTGGACGATGTGATGACCGTGTGTCTTGTTCTGGATAACATGGTTAAGCAGATATGTGCTCTTTTCATGTTCCTAGAAAATGAGCAGGAAGTACAAGGGAAAATGATGGAGGAGCTCCGCAACACCGATATAGAGGATTTCAATGACCTGAACAATTTGAAATACACAGAGAAGTGCATTCTAGAGTCTCTCAGGATGGGGCCGGCACTGTTGAGGGGCACCAGAACTTACAAGTTAGTGAAATATTTAGTTTTACAAATCTAATTAGTAAATAGCGAGTCACTTGTTACAGAATTTAATTTTTGTTCCAGTCTAACCTATACTTGGTGTGGTTGAATTATGTGGAATTTATACTTTCTGCAACCAATTTTTCTCAATATATATTATAAAATGATCACTCTTCACTGCAATTGCAATAAAATGCTATAACAGAGGCTGGCAACCTTACTTCATAAACTTGATTATCTGTAATATGGTGAGACAAAATCAACTGTTCCATGAAAAATGAAAAATATCAACAAAAAAATGTCCATATTAAGAGGGAATCAATTGAGTGTTACATAAAATAACTAAATATTTTGCGTGCTTAGCAGACCTATCTAATGTTTTCAGGACCGCCACAAACAAGAGGTTCGGACCATACGTAGTGAACACAAGAAATGTTAGAGTTCACTTCTCGGAGTACGTAATGCAGATGAACCCGGATTATTGGCCAGAACCTAAAAAGTTTAACCCAGAAAGATGGCAGCCAGGATTCAACCCAGAGCCCTTCTCCTACATGCCATTCTTCGTAGGAAGTAGAGGCTGTCTGGGTAAACATATGGCTATGATGATGATGAAGTTAACGCTTTCTGTGCTGGCTAAAAACTTTGAGTTGCAGCAGAGTTTTAACAAGAAGGAACCGCCCACTATAAATCAGAACATGGCTGTGATGCGCATTATCAACAGAGTAGATTGTTTGATAACACCCTTAGCAGTAAGTTGAGTAGTTGGACAATTTCTATTGAAATTTTCATGTTTTTAAAGTTTCTATAACTGATCATCGGTAAAGAATATTTTATGGCCTTAAAAAAAGAACAATGAGCGTGATGATTATGATATGTGATAATACACAGTATTATATACATAGAATTTCACTGGACAGAAATTAAGCGCCTAACAGGTTTTTAGATTAACGAACAGAAACAGAACACTAACTTCTAACATGATTGTTATGTTGAAGAAGCAATATATTATGTACCTCTCTGTTAATACACCAAACTCTTATGAAATGTTATGACTATACTGATCTACTGATATTTGTATGCCAGCTTTACTGTCTTATTATGTTGAGGTTTAACCAGTGGCGTAAAGTTGCCTGTTGCCCCCCCTCCTTAAAATTGAACAAATTAGGTGATTATTTGTAGGTTTACAACCTACCAGGACGCGCCGAGTTGGACTCAGATATTTTACGAGTATCACCCGTTAAGTGATTATAGGGCATATGCCGGTAAAATCTCTAATAAACTGTGTTTCTAGAGCAAAACGCACAGTTTTGCTAGTACTTAAGTTAAGTTTTTCAAAATTGTCCCACATTCAAAGACGGTTATATTTTTGTCTGCTTTAATTGGTACTAAAATTGTTGTTTTCTTGAAATTGTTGACTTTCTTTCACTTTTAGTAATTGAGAACAGTACAAATTAAAAAACAAATATTGACTCTTGAACACATTATTGTGAATCTTCGGCCGTAAAGTAAAGGTAAACTTTTTTGTTTCATTTTGTAACAGACTGAAGAAATATATCGAAAATTCATATGATTTTGTGATCCTATAAAAAAAATTGTAAAGCAATTCTGCCAGACTCACTCAATACAAACATTGCTTCCATTATAAACCACTTGTCCAAATTTTAAAAATCTTGTGGATTATGAAAGTAAACGTGTCATTTGATGTATTGTATACACTAGTTCTGAATAATTTAACGGGTGATACTCGTAAAATATCTGTTCCATATTATATTGGACCGTCGACGAGTCCAACTCGGCGCGCGTCCTGGCCTGGTAGGTTGTAAACCTACAAATATATTCCAAATTATGCCCATTTGTAAATATGAAAATTTCTGAAGAGTAATTTCAAATTTGCCAGATTTGATGAGCTTTTTGCCCAATTACAATGACCAATTAGTCAGTTAACTGAAAATGGTATTATTGAGTCATTCATTATTATTTATAGGAAGTCAAAAAAAATGAAAGAAATCATATATTTCCATTTTCGAAATTGACGATGTCAAACTTTCAAAATCTTTCCCTTGCGAAGCAAAACAACTAATAACGTCATTGGTCATGTGAACAATAATGATAGTTTGCGCGGCGCCTTTTTTTCTTATGTGACGCGAATTTATGCCTCATGTTGTGGGCTTGACGGATGTTACTAGTTTAAATTTCTTTGTAGGTTTTCAACCTACCAGGACGCGGACGCGCGACGCGCGCCGAGTTGGACTCGTCGACGGTCCAATATATGGAACAGATATTTTACGAGTATCACCCGTTAAAAATTTCTTCGAAGTAGCGCGCGCCGCGTTTCCTTCTCGAAATGCCTGCGATGGCACGTGCTACGAAGTAGCGCGCGCCGGGCCAGATCATTAACAATGGTCAAGTTGTGGGCTTGCCTTACCTGGGTATCCCAGGCTATAATGGTGATCATAAAAATAAAAATAATGCTGTTCGTTAATGGGCGAGATGCACCACTGGGATCGCCAAGGCAAGCGAGCGGCAAAAAATTTATAACCGATGTTACTCGTCTAAATTTTTTCGAAGTAGCGTGCGCCGCTTAGTCTTACTTCTCGAAATGTTAATGTTATTAGCACGATGCAAGTGCTACAAATTAGTAGCGTGCGCCGGGCTAGTCCGTTAAAAATGGACAAAATTGACATTTTCAATTAAGGTTGAATATTCATTTAATTTTTACTGGGCCGCGCTCAGCCTGTCATTCCGCCAAATCTTTATTCGTTAATGAACATAATAGCCTGGGGTCCTCAGGTAATTTAATTTTAGCACGCTCGTATAGCCGTTGTGTGGAAATGAAAATAGCATTGAACCGTACTGTACGGTTAAAAACACCCCTTCTACATATTCCAACTTGACCCGGCGCGTGCTACTTTGAAGCACTTTACCTCGGGTCATAATAATAATATTTCGCGAGAAGAAAGCGGCGTGCGCTACTTCGAAGAAATATAGACGAGTATCATCCATCAAATCCCAATTTTATTTATCTATTTGTGTTGGGACAAGATAAATGCATTTAGTTCAAAACTTCACAAATTATTTATATTAAATACCAACCGTATCGTATCGAAAATTGAAATTAACTTACAATTTAGCAAATTCAAATCAATTTTATTTAATTGTGGAAGAAATTTTCAATTGTGGAACATTTCATTCTAAGAACACCATATTTTATTTGCTGCATGCTGCACTCAAGATAAAACCTCAACCTTGTAATATGTTGACGGACACTTAACACACATAAAAAGAACTTTAACATTTAAACCTATCATAGGAATATGGTAGATACCGGGGCAGGAAGTGCACACCCTAGTACTGATATCACGGTGTTATGTCACAGAAGGATGCTAGGACCTTATTAATATGAAACAGACAAGCTATTAAACCTGTTATTCGGAATGAATGTTAAATCGTACAAATCAACAGGGTGTTTCAAGGCTCGTGTCCAAAATGTAAATCGTACAAATCTAGATAACCGCCAGCTAATTTTATTCACTTCTGTTGTGGGAACAGAATGTTAAGTTTCTCCACTGAACAAAGCGCTTATTTAACACAGAACCAACTTTATCGAGTTAAACTGTAACAGTGCCGCAGTAACACACTGTTACACATTGTAACACCTTTCTTCAAATGAAACCTCAATCAACCAGGACAGTCTATACCATTAATCTAACAACTCTTTGAAACATGATTTCAAGTGAGAGCAATCTGAAGAATATTAACGAGGAAGTTAAAAAACACAACTGATTTTCAGGTGAGAGCCTCCTGAATATCAGTTCTGCAAAAGGGACACTTTCTGGAACAGGTGGTGAGCCAGCGATCTATACAGTACTCATGAAACTCATGTTCACAGGGCAGCACACGTAGTGTCTCTCCGACACTGTAGTGACCTGTAATATGGTAACTTGTTACAAAACACAATGTAACTATGGTAACTTGTTACAAAACACAATGTAACCATGGTAACTTGTTACTAAACACAATGTAACTATGGCAACTTGTTACAAAACGCAATTTAACTATGGCAACTTGTTACTAAACGCAATGTAACCATGGTAACTTGTTACAAAACACAATGTAACCATGTTAACTTGTTACAAAACACAATGTAACTATGGCAACTTGTTACAAAACGCAATTTAACTATGGCAACTTGTTACTAAACGCAATGTAATCATGGTAACTTGTTACAAAACACAATGTAACCATGGTAACTTGTTACAAAACACAATGTAACCATGGTAACTTGTTACAAAACACAATGTAACCATGTTAACTTGTTACAAAACACAATGTAACTATGGCAACTTGTTACAAAACACAATGTAACTATGGCAACTTGTTACAAAACACAATGTAACTATGGCAACTTGTTACAAAACACAATGTAACCATGGTAACTTGTTACAAAACACAATGTAACTATGGTAACTTGTTACAAAACACAATGTAACCATGGTAACTTGTTACAAAACACAATGTAACCATGTTAACTTGTTACAAAACACAATGTAACTATGGCAACTTGTTACAAAACGCAATTTAACTATGGCAACTTGTTACTAAACGCAATGTTAGCAGGGTGATTTGTTACAATACACAATGTAACTATGGTAACTTGTTACAAAACACAATGTAACCATGGTAACTTGTTACAAAACACAATGTAATCATGGTAACTTGTTACAAAACACAATGTAACTATGGTAACTTGTTACAAAACACAATGTAACCATGGTAACTTGTTACAAAACACAATTTAACCATGGTAACTTGTTACAAAACACAATGTAACTATGGTAACTTGTTACAAAACACAATGTTACCATGGTAACTTGTTACAAAACACAATGTAACCATGTTAACTTGTTACAAAACACAATGTAACTATGGCAACTTGTTACAAAACGCAATTTAACTATGGCAACTTGTTACTAAACGCAATGTTAGCAGGGTGATTTGTTACAATACACAATGTAACTATGGTAACTTGTTACAAAACACAATGTAACCATGGTAACTTGTTACAAAACACAATGTAACCATGGTAACTTGTTACAAAACACAATGTAATCATGGTAACTTGTTACAAAACACAATGTAACCATGGTAACTTGTTACAGAACACAATGTAACCATGGTAACTTGTTACAAAACGCTATGTTACTATAGTAACTTGTTACAAACCACAATGTAACCAAAACACAATGTAACTATGGTAACTTGTTATAAAACACAATGTAACCATGGTAACTTGTTACAAAACACATTGTAACCATGGTAATTTGATGGTACAATGTTGGAATGTTAACAATGTAAGAATGTTCTTTTTCTACTAACCAAGACAAATGGAGCATTTCTTTTCCCGGCTCATATCTGCTTCACTAGCAACTTTAGTAGGAGCGCGGTCTAACACGTTCTTATCCACCAGAGGCGGGTTAGGAGTGGGTGCTATTCTGTGTAATAACTGAAATAGTTTTATATTTCACTTTATAAATGTAGTGTATTGAGGAGACGGGGGGAGATGATACTAATAATAGTCTATTAGTTGTAATAGTCTATTTCAAGTTGGACTTTTCTGGAAGACTACTCCACATATTGGGACTGTACCATGATAACACACTTGTAAATACTGATTATAAACCTCAAAAGAGTCCGTGAGAAGTCCGTTTAAGTTTTGGAGATCTCGTCGGAGTGTTGTTATCCGGTCCCTTAGGCTAGTCATGTGCAGTAACTCCTCGTGGGCAACAACCCCCCGTCTCTACCCAAATAATACGGTGAGTGCTGCGTGACATAATGCCTGAACTAAACGCAGTGAGGCTAGCACGCAAACTAACACTACTAGTAACTAGAACTGTGTGTTCGTGCAAACTAACACTACTAGAACTGTGTGTTCGTGCAAACTAACACTACTTTAACTGTGTGTTCGTGCAAACTAGCACTACTAGTAACTAGAACTGTGTGTTCGTGCAAACTAACACTACTAGAACTGTGTGTTCGTGCAAACTAACACTACTTTAACTGTGTGTTCGTGCAAACTAACACTACTACAACTGTGTGTTCGTGCAAACTAACACTACTAGAACTGTGTGTTCGTGCAAACTAACACTACTTTAACTGTGTGTTCGTGCAAACTAACACTACTTTAACTGTGTGTTCGCGCAAACTAACACTACTTTAACTGTGTGTTCGTGCAAACTAACACTACTAGAACTGTATTTACTTACAGTTGGTATGTTGATAGGAGGAGCACCAATAGAGTCGCCCGCACTTGAAATGTTCCTGCAAATAAAATTAATGAATAATATAATAAGCTTAAAGTTATTATAGATTTGCTACTTACGGATGACAGAATATAATATGTAGTTTATCTGCACTACATACACACTAATGTCTGTACCTTGCGTTGATTGGATCTTGAGAAGCTTGAAAAGTAACATCCTGAAAAATGATAATTTAACTCATGTATTTCTAACATGAACATTGATCATCACTTTTAAAAATGTTGGGGCAATGCTACTGAAACCCAAATTGGGCCACTGCTATTAATTGTGCACCGATTTGACTTTTAAAATGATGTTATCAGTTTGGTTTTGCTCAATAGCAATATCTCCCCTCCTTACCAAGTGTCGACTGTATGATCGCAGGCGCCTGGGGTTCGAATGGTTTGTGACTCTGGTCAGGGGGCTAACAATAACTCCTTCACTGGTAAGGTCGCGCATTACATTCTGAAACAATATTGTCAAAATTTGATTTAACTATGTTACTCATCTGATTGTGAGAGCTAACATTCTACAACCCCCCCTCTCTGTAAGCCATTTTACACATAACTATGGTGTAGCAATTACCAAAATTTACTTAACTTTTCTCAACAAATGCACAGATCTTGTGTATTCTTATTAAAGAGGAAGAGGGTACACTACTAGTCTGGATAATGTTCCAGTTTCACAGATCAGCTACCTGTACTGATCTGACCGTGTTTTAAGGCTAGTAAGCTGTCTCTCATTGACTGTGCGACATATACATGTGTACACATGTGTACACAAAATGCGCTAATTCGATGACGATTGTCACACTCTCTTTGAAGTTTCGAGCGCGCGTCGCTAAAATTGTGTGCGCGCGGCTTAGTCCAGACTTTATACGATTGGCGAACGCGCGTTCCATCAAAAAGCCATAAGAGACCGAATTACAGGGGGACATTCTATGCCATTGTACAATAATTCATTGCCAATGTTCTGAGTTACATTTTCCTTTTGGGGCTGATGCAGGTAAGATAATTACTTATCTACAATTAATCAATTCGATCATTTCTTCATTTTTAAAAATCGTATCACAAAGAGAAGTTTCCCTCGTTTAAAAAAAGATTTCAATGTACAAGTACTCAGTGGCGTAATGAAGGGCCCCGCTGACCCCGCTGTGCAGGGGGGCGCCGTCTTAGGGGGCGCCAAATCGTCGTTTGAATGTGGGACAATTTCGAAAACTTAACTAAAGTACTAGCAAAACTGCGCGTTTTGCTCTAGATACACACTTTTTTAGAGATTTTACCGGCGTATCCTCTAAAATCACCTAATTTGTTCAAATTTAGGGAGGGGCACCAAAAGGGGAGGGGGCGCCAACAGGGGGGCGCCTTTTCGGCGGGGGGGGGGGGGGGGGGGGGGGGCGCCAACAGGCAACGTTACGCCACTGCAAGTACTTCTCAGAATTCAGACGTAATTATTCGCCGGACCAACTCAAGGTTGTTAACAGGTCAATTGTAAATAATCAACTGTGTTGTGCAATGTTTTTGCAAAAAAGACGCTGTCATGGAGAACATATTACAAACAAAGAAGAATATTATATTATATAAGTGAACTGTACCATGAATTGCCCATACTGTCTGGAGCGTATAGGGCGGCGCGCGGTGGGTCTGCGAGCTCTATACCGCGACACTGAGTGTGCATTCCGTCTCACTCCAACTCCTTCAGTGGGACTCGAGCGCTGCACAAACTGCCTTAAAAAACGGGAAATCAGACTTGGTATCATTCTGTGAGGGTCCAGGGTTAGAAAACAGGTTATCGCACGCACGTACGCACGCACGCACGCACGCACGCACGCACGCACGCACGCACGCACGCACGCACGCACGCACGCACGCACACACGCACACACGCACGCACACACGCACGCACACACGCACGCACAGTCACACACAAATTGCAAGACATGACACACAGATAAACAATATATTTTGATATTTTAATATTTTCAATGTCTCAGGCTCTAAATTGATTCTAGATAAGCTAAATGGAAATAGAAATTTGGAAAATTTCCTTAACGAGGGGGCAGTAAGGAACAGTCACCCTACTACATGTAATATAATAATACTGTAATATAATAATACTGTAATATTTATGGCCGCAAAAATTAAAGCCGACAAAATGGAAAGCCAACATAACAATGGAACGATTACTACCATTGTCTGGCATTGCACCAGCGCATTAATCGCACTGTTAACTAATTCAGGGTAGTTACAGGGTGATGTGAACTAAACTCGGTGAAAATTACAGCTTTGGTAAACCGTAAAACTATCATTAACAATCACTCATTATGTAATTATGTAATAATAATTATGTAATGTCTCAACCACTCATTCAAATAGCTTCTAAGATTATTGAAAACCATTTAAAATACTCACAACACGCAAACAAATACAGATAATATTATGTAATATTAACACTATTGTAATGTTAACTGTATTACACTGAACACTATACTAGTAGTGTGAGTAGTTTCCTGGTGGAGACTAAAAACAAGAAACACAGACACACATACAGACAAACAGACAGACAGACAGACAGACAGACAGACAGACAGGCAGACAGACAGACAGACAGACAGACAGACAGACAGACAGACAGACAGACAGACAGACAGACAGACAGACAGACAGACAGACAGACAGACAGACAGACAGACAGACAGACCGACAGACAGACAGACAGACAGACAGACAGACAGACAGACAGACACAGACAGACACAGACAGACA